CTCCACTGGGCGGAAGGGCTCTGCAGGTGGCCCCCTGCCACGGAGGGGTGCTGGGGCGGGGCGCTGCACCCTGGTGGGGTGGGGTCTAAGGGGAGCTGGGGGCGGGGCCTCCACGTGGAGGGGCGGGGTCCACACTTCTGGGGGATTCTGAGGGGCCATGAGGGGGCGTGGTCGATCCTGAGGGGCGGGGCTCTGCCCATCCGTGGAGGGGGTTGCAGAGCCCCTCAGTCCCCCTCCAAGTTGCCCCTGTCCTCGGTGGGGGGCGGGGGATGGGGTGCTGCAAGTCATCCCTGTCCTGGTGCGGTGCAGAGGTGTTGAGGGGGCATGGACTTCAGCCCAGGGGGCGGGGCTCTGCAAGTCACCCCTATCCTGGTGGGGTGTGGAGGGGCAGGGGCTCCTCACCCTGCTATGGTGGGGGCTTGGGTCAAGGGCAGGGCTCTTGCCATGGTGTGGTGGGGTGTGCTGAGGGACACTGAGGGTGCATGGGAATAGGGTGTTTGTGGGGCTATGGGGGTGACCTCTGCTATGGGGGTGTGGCTAGTACCAAGGGGTGGGGCTCTGTTGGCTCTTCCCCTCAGTGCCATGGTGGGCTGCAGTGCTATGTGGGTGGGATGGGGTGCGCTGGATGCCTGGTGCGGGCTGTGGGCTAAGGAAAGTCATGTCCTAGCTTTTCCCATCGGCACAGGGGCGAGGCTTGCCCATGGGGCTGCAAATATGGCTTAATCTGGAGTGCACGGGTGAGCCCTGAGGTTGCCTGGGCCAGGGCAGTGTCTGTCCCATCCCCCCCACCTTTGCACTGCAGGGCCTTGGCTGTAAGCAGCAACTCTGCATTGCAAAAATGAAACTGAACTTTATTCACCTTGTGGGGGTGGGGGAAACCTCTGGGTTACTGATTTACTGCCCCCCCCTTCCTTCCCACATCCTGCTTGGCCCCGGGTGCCAAATAACAGGCTATTCAATCATAAACAGACTTGACCAAAGATCAGCCAGTCATGGATGAGGCCACCTCGTTCCCAAGGCTGGGCAGAGCCGAGCTCATGCATTCCTTTCCCTGAATCACTTTAGTTTCGGCTTATTTTAGCCCCTGACACCAGCTCTGTACTAAGCAGAGCCTTAAATAGTCACAGAAACTTGAAGGCAAAAGATCCTGCCTGTAGATTGGGTTGGACAGGTGTTGGGTCTTGGTTGCTAATAGCCATGTCTTGGGTTTCTGGAGCTCTCTGAAGGGCAGGGTCTACCATTCATTCCTCAGTGTTTTGAACATAATGATGTAAAATGAAACTTCTGGCAG